ATTGCTTCCCGTAAAACTATGCACAAGATACAGTTAAAGTGCAGCTCTTAGGATGCATCTGGTACACGTGTTCTGCCTAGCACGAGTTGTAGGACCTGCACTTCAGCACCTCTGACTATGGCTTCAAAGATCCTCTTCTTTTTACATATTAACAAGGTTGACAATGAAAATTAATTTCAAAGAGAGGCTTGGCTGCAGAGACAATTAGAACTCTGTCTACCGTCCTTCTGCTCACACAATTAAATGTACCTCAAGGAGCATTCTGTATCACCAGACTTGCCAGACCCCACTTTAACAGGCAAGGCGGCAGCATGGTACCCACTGAACTGCAAGGCCATGACACATCAAGATGGGTAGCCATGTTAGTCTGTCTGTAGAATTAGAAAAGAGCAAGAGTCCAGTAGAACCTTAAAGACTAGCAAAATTTGTGGCAGGGTATGAGCTTTCATGACTCACCGCTCGCTTCTTCAGATACAGCTAGAATGGGAGTCCATCTGGCCTAATTATTGGAAAATATATTTATTTCAGATGCTGAATGACAATAGCAGGCAGGTGATAATAGCAGGCATGATTGGATTAGGTGTGATATGCAGAGGAGTAGTTGCTACGAGAAATCAGCATTGGTAATGAGACAGGAAACCTAGGTCTTGATTAAGTCCAGCTGGATGCATTGTCTTGAACGCCATTATTAGTTGCAATTCAGCAGTCTCCCCCTTTGAAATACCTTTGTAAAGGAACTGCTACTCTTAGGTCAGTACCAGAATAGCCCAGAAGGTTAAAAAGTTCCCCCACTGGTTTTTTAAATGTTGTAATTTATAATGTCATATTTATGTCCATTAATTCTTTGTCAAAGGGTCTGGCCTGTTTGTCCAGTGTAGAGGGTGGAAGGGCATTGCTGACACATTAAATCACATTAGAGGATGAGCCAGAGTATGAACCCGAGATGGTACGGCTGATGTTACTGAGCCCGCTGAGAGTTGCTAGGATTCGTATGAGAGCAAAGTTGGCATCTTGGTTTGTTGCAGGCCTTGATACTGGAGTCCATGTTACCGTTAAGTAGTTTATCATTGTGGGTGAGAAATTTTTAGGTTAGCAGGCCGCCTGTAAGCAAGAAAAGGTCGGCCCCCCAGTGCCTGTGTGAGGGAAGTGTCACTGTCCAGCATGGGTTGTAGGTCATTAATGATGCGTTGAACGGGCTTCAGTTGGGAGCTGCAGGTGACCACCAATGGTGTTGTCCTTTTCTCTGGGCTTGTATTGTAGCAAGCTGTCCCTGGGTATCATTCTGGCTTTTCCAATTATCTCTCTCACCGTATCAGGAGGATATTGTATTTGCAAAAAAACCTGCTGTAGATCCTTCGAGTGGGACACCTAAGTACATTATACTGGAAACTGGTAAAGGTTTCCCTTGCTCGAAAGCCAGTCGAATCCGACTCTAGGGTTGCATTATACTGGAAACCGGTAAAGGTTTCCCTTGCTCGAAAGCCAGTCGAATCCGACTCTAGGGTTGCATTATACTGGAAACCGGTAAAGGTTTCCCTTGCTCGAAAGCCAGTCGAATCCGACTCTAGGGTTGCAGTGCTCATCTCTGTTTCAAAGCCAAAGACGTTTCCGTGGTCATGTGGCCAGCATGACTAAACACCAAGGCACACGGAACACTGTTACTTTCCCACCGAAGTGGTACCTATTTATCTACTTGCAATGTCTTGCTTTTGAACTGCTAGGTTGGCAGGAGCTGGAACTAGAGATGGGAGCTCACTCCGTCATGCGGCACCCAGGTCTCAAACTGCTGAACTACTGACCTTCCACAGCCTGCAGTTCAGCGTCTTAACCACTTGAGCCACCGCAGCTCCTGGAAACTGACTGATCAGCAAACATATGCCTCCTGGGATCTCCTGAAGCCCTTCCTGCTCCACAGTAATTAGAGGAATGCCAGGGCTACCTAGCAGTGCAGAAGATCCTTTTTAGCACAAGGCAGCGATCCCCAACATGGCTTCCCAACTGATGTGGACTTGGGGAAAGGAGAAAATGAGTGTTAGGCAACACACTGATAAGGACTCCCTGCTGAATGAGCTTGGCCGCGTATGCAAAAAGGCAAGGCACACTTGCACTCCCCTCCGCCCTGACCACCAACGGCATAAGGGACTGAGACCAACCTGTGGAACCTGACCTATAGATTGAAGGCCACTGTTTTGAATTTTCCAGACTTTGAAGTCACTCCTCCAATCCCACACAGATTTGAATAAGGTCTCCATTCAGTCCCATCGACTAGTGTTCTTGGTGTACTTTTTGAACTACATGATGTAGGTGAGTCAAGAAACACTAGCAGTAGAGGGGGGCCCTAGTGAGAAACCTAGGTGAGGGCTACATTCTCCAGCCACCCCAGGAAGTAGAATACTGCACATTTGTGTTGAATTTCAGACAGAGTTCCTTATGGCAAGGAACTGTCTAATACCATTTGTGGGATATTTACTTATTTTCAAAAAAAAGCCTCGGGCCTGATCAGACCAGGAACAGCAACGCTGTCTCAGCACGGAAAGTACAACCTGGACTTGTTTTCACTGCTAGAGCGGAACACTAAAGAATGACAATCAGGAAGTGGTAGTACCATATACACCGAGAGACCAGAAGTTGAAGGAATAAACGGAAGAGAGTGTAGGATCGAAACTTTATTCCAGGTCTACCCACATAAAAGACTACAGAAACCGTGAGGATAATACCAATGGATAAGCAAGCATGGGACCTTAAATCAGAGTAAGTAACCAGCTAGGGAAGAAACAGGTTGTGCCACAGAAAGACCCTGTGCCGCTGGGCATGCCATAGAAACCAGAACTTTGACAGGGGATGCCAGAAGACATTTAGGGGAGGAGCCGTGGCTCAGTGGTAGAGCCTGTTTGGCATGCAGGTCTGAAAAACAGAGATCTGAAAAATGTCTGATACCACGGAAAGCTGCTGCCAGAGCGGACAATACTAACTTTGACTGACTGATGGTTTGATCCAGTAGAAGGCAACTTCATGTTTTCAAGCTAGAGGGGGTCCCATCGTAAAAAGTCTCTTCTGATTTCCACAGATTACCTACCCCCTTCCTTCAGACCCAAACAAGAGTCAGTTTGGTGTAGTGGCTAGGAGCACAGACTCTAATCAGGGAGAACCGGGTTTAATTCCCCACTCTTCCACATGTACCTGCTGGTATGACCTTGGGTCAGTCACAAGTTCTTTCAAAGTTCTTCTCTCAAGAGCAGTTCTCAAAGAACTCTCTCAGCCTCACCTACCTCACAGGGGTGTCTCTTGTGGGGAGGGCAAAAGAAGATTGTAAGCCGCTCTGAGACTCCTTTGTGTAGTGGAGGGGGGGGTATAAATCCAATCTCTTCTACTCCTGGAGGCTGAGGACCCCAAGCAAATAGCATGGGGGAGTCCAGTATTTACAGTGGCAGGGTTTTTTTTCTCCTTCTATCAATGGAAATAATCCAGTGGACCCAAGCACCATTTGTCATAATCCTATCAAGGAGAGACTCCAGAGCCCCCAAGCAAAATGTACCAAATGTAAAGGCAGATTTGAGTCAGATCTTACCATCTTTTCCACATGGTCTCACCCAATTGCTGCAGCCTACTACCCTGCATGGATTTTTCCCACCCACCTCGGTCCCATGGGCCCTGACCAGCCTCTCCCCTTCTTTGAACAACATAAAGGCTGGTAACCCTCAACTATTCAGTTGTAGCAGCCACCACCAACAGTGGGAATTACCGTTCACTACTTTTAAAAATCCTTGTGCTAAGGGAGTGCTGAATCCATGCTGATGACCTTCGTTACATGTACGCAACTGAAGATGGAGATGCCAGTTAGCAACTAATACAGCTCATCCTTTAATGTTGGACTGTACAGAACAGCGTTGCACCAGAAAGTTGGGACAGGCAAGCGGCTGATCCTAAACCATCCTTCTCTCCACAGTCCCCATCACCCAAAGGCCTAATGTACTAGGCTCCACTGGAGCAATTGAGAAACATCGGTACTTTTCCCCACCTCCCAATCATCCTAGGAGAGGGGGAAAGAATATTTTGTGAGTAGGATTCCAACAGCAGAAAGCAGACCTGTTTTCCACTCCAGCTGGAGCCTCCTTCAGCATCCCCAAAAGCCATTCCTGATTTATTTATTGGGGGGGGGGGCGCTCAAAACCAACTTGAAATATAGAGCAAGTGACAGCAGCTAAACTGGGGGAATTAGCAGGCATCAGGCAGAAAGTGCTTTGGATATATCACAGCTAGACCCATATAAGCCCCAGACAGATTTACGCTCCTCCGAGCAGCATCTCCTGGTGACCCCTGGCCCAAGGGACGTCTGCATAGCCTCAAATAGGGCAAGGGCTTTTTTTGGCCCAACCTGGTGGAACAGACTCCCACCTGAGTTCAGGGCCCTGAGGGACCTATGACAGTTCTGCAGGGCCTGTAAAGCGGAGCTGTTCCGCCAGACTTTCAGTTGAGGCAGCGAGCATTCAGCCATTCTGGCTTCCCAGTGCCTGGATTTAGATAACACTATTTGGGCACTGGAGCTTTTTATACACCTGATGTGAGGCATGGGTCTTTTCTGTTATTGTTTATTGTGCCATCTGTTGTTTTATTGGTTCTATCGCTTGTGTTGTACGCCGCCCTGAGCCCACTCGTCAGATCTCGGAAGCTAAGCAGGGCCGACCCTGGCAAGTACTTAGATGGGAGACCTCCAAAGAATACCAGGGCCTGGAGGCCAGAGACAGGCGATCAAGTCACTTCTCTGAAATGTACTAGCCCCACTAGAGGCTTCAGGATAACCAGGTTTAGGAACCAAGCAATGGGATACCAAGTCAATAATAGAAAAGTGGCCTGGTAGCCAGTTAGGCATTTTGCCAAGGAACTGCGTAACGCAAGTTCTTAATAAATGTAGGCCACTCAGCCACCATGTTTTAATGGGCCTACTGCAATGTACGTGGCAGAGGCTAAACACTGACACCACAAAAGAGGCAACTAAAGTATTCAAAATAACTGCATTTTATTTTCACATTTAGTCTCCCCATCATTTCCATCAGTCTGATCACCACTTACTATGCATTATCAAAACATTCCATACATATTTGAAATGAACCAAAGGGTGGAAATCCTCGTCTTTACAAACTGAACAGGCATTTTGAACAACACATTCTTGGCAAAACGTTCTGGACAACATTAATCAGACTCTGCAGGGAAAGCTTTAGCATTTACAAAAAAAAGGACAGCCAGATATTAATGGTTAAACATACAGGACTGAAACTGGGTGGGGGGTGGAAGGAACCGTTTTAAGCCTCTTGCTTACAAAGTCTGTCTCCACTGCCAGAGTGCTTGAATAATCTAAAAACACAAAAGAGAATGTAGCACATTTAGATATCCTTTCTCAATCTAAAAACACAAAAGAGAATGTAGCACGTTTAGATATCCTTTCAAATACAGACCGACATTTGATGCAGTACTCATGTACACATTATTTGTCTGGATGCATGGATAAGAGGACCAGTGTACGTAAGAATTCAGGCCTACTTCAATTTTGAAAAACGCTCCCCAAAAAACCACATGCACTGTTTGGTACATTTATACATTAAAGTTACTGAGGAGTTCCCCCCCCCCCTCAAGGCTGCTCTCACTCTATAAAGCACAGTCAAAGAAAGCAAAAGGAAGGGTGTGTCTCAGTTAGGCAAATACTGTCTGAACTCTGCCTGCCCTGCCTTCTGTCCAAACCCACTTCAGTAGCTCAACTAGCGGCTTTCGAGCCGTCTCCCTTTGACAGACACGATCCCCCTCCCCCTTTGAACTGTCTGGGGGGAAGCAGAAAATCATAACTGTTTTGTTAAAGGAATTTTGATAGGGAAATTTAAGATTTACAAGGTCTAGCCCCAACACAGCTTGCTTCCTGATACCAGCACCACCACCTTCTGGCCTGCTCTCACACAGATGCTGGGTTGATTTTGGGAAAGAAAAGCCTCCAGACTGCCAGAGGCTCCAGCGCAGTAGTTCCCTTTTCTCTGCAGAAAGGAAACTGGATGGCAGGCTGGCCAAATTCAGCAGAGAAAAACCACAGCACTTTTTCCCCCTTCTCCATTTGGTTAAAATGGTGCTGGAGATTCCTGTGGGTTTAGTGAAAAAGCTTACTGACCATGTAAAAGGGAGAAAACTTCTCACACACAATCGCCACTTATATCAGCTTAACCTAAGTACTGTTTTGCAACCTAGTAACCGTCTTCTGTTCCAAGTATGCAAAGTGACAGGGGGAAAAGTGAAGAACTGCACTACAGAGATCTCATCAAACCATAATAAATGCCATTACCTTCTGATCCTCTGTCCTGAAACAATTCTTAACGTAATTCACAAACTTGGTTTCCACTTTAGGAAGAACAGTTCCCTATGGTGAAAAGGAAAAGATATAACCAAGAATAAAAATAAACTAAGCCAACTGATCTGCAGCCCAAGCCATATGGCAAAAGGCACTTCCATGCTCTACTGTAAGGTATATCCATTCCTGTGCTAGCAGTCTGCAGCAGTGTTTCCCAACCATTGTATTTTGAAACCATTAAAAAACCCAACTAATATATGGAAAATACTGTTTCCAGGGTCAGCCCTTTCAGTATCTTTCAGTATCATGGTCAGTATCTTCTATACATTAGTTGTTGTTTTCTGTATACATGCTGATCAAGTAAAACATGTCCTGATGGTTACTGGAATAAGCAGACTCTTAGGGGGACTACAGAGAGTAATAAAGGAGGAGAGGGTGGTCAAAGGGTTTGAATGGTGGAAGGCCATTTGCTTCAGGTTCACAGTTGGGGCAGTTAACGCTCTGCGTGACGTTTGCTGGTTTCTCAAAAACACCTGGTTAGCCACAGTAGATAATGGAACATTTAACTAGATGAGTACCAAGTTTGCCTAGGATGCAAAAAAACCAAACCCCACCAACCTTGGATGTGTCACCATACCAAGAACATTTGGACTTGTGGGTCACCATACCAAAAAAGTTGGAAACCCCTGCTCTAGAGAATTTCTGAAACTATCCGTGAAGGCCCAACCAGCCAAAAATAGCTCGGCCTCCCAAATTACATGCCTGGTTACACCTACTCCGCCTTCTCATCAGGAAAATGCGTAATGGTCCTTTTCTCCCTTGGGTTTGCTGCACGCTGACAAATAAGCCAACTATAGGACCTTCCACCATTGTTAAAATCCGAGCCTATTAAAACACTACAGAAAATTTAATGTTTCCCTGTCCCTGATCACTATTTCCTCAGCAAAGTGCCATCACTAACTGACTGACTTGTTAACTTACCTTTTGTACTTGTGCCTGCATTTTTGCTTTCATCTCCTCTAGAGAAGAGGGTTTTGGTGATTTTGGAGTTTGTGGTTTCTTCTCCTTATGAGATTCTGGAGTCTGAAACACAAGCAGTTTGTATAAGCTTCTCCCCAATACTGTGGCAAAAAAACTGATGACAAATAATTGAATCTTCTCCCCGTCTTGTCTCCAGTACACTTTAACTGCAGATTTAAATACACTGTTATATACTTTGTTGTGCACAGCCAAACCTCAGGTGATACTATGTAGCTTATACTAGTTATATAAACTCTACCTCTGGTTCCCAGTCCTAAAAGTATACCTGTTTTATTTAGACATCATTAACTTGTTTGAGCCATTTCCAAATCAAAAAGATTATGATCACATTCAATTCTTTCCTCACCATTTTACGAAATCTGTTGTCAAATAGTAAATACTGATATATTATGCTCACTCACTTTTGTTTTAGCTGGAGTCGCTGGCTTAGAATCTTTTCCATTCTGGTTTGATTTTGGTGTGTTTTTCGCAGAAGAATCACGGGCCGGCTGGAATTACAATACATTTTATTTAAAAACCCTTAAACCTTATTCAAACTACATGCTGTAAGACATAATTTAACCACTACATAGGTAAGAATGCATGCTCAATATCCTTATGAGATCCAGCCAAAGAATTAGCTTCCTAGAAACCAGCACTATATATACTAACAGATGTAGCACACAATGTAAATTGAGCCAAATTACAGCCAAGCAGTCCCAAATGGCCTTGCCCTTTATTCCTGGCCAACTAAATCAGCAAGTATACTGTGACAAAATACCTGTCTGATGAGTAGTAATTGTATCTTGCCTTGGATCACCCCATCCACATGGAATGTAGAGAACCGACGCAAAGGAATTCCCCACCACCACCACCAAATACATACTCCATGCCAAGAAATACCAAGTGGCAAGTCACAGCAAAATGCTCATAGATAAATAAGGCATCTAGGTGTTAGAATGAAGTTGCAATTTACAATACGAAGAGCAACTTCAGCTGAAGAGTGATAGCTAGGAGGACAATGCAAATAAGGGCAGCATTTCCACTGGTCATGAATGGAAAGCCTTTTCCTTAGTTGCTGGCTGTGGCTCATTGTAACTGCAGGCATATCCATTCTGGGGCATAATGAGAACATACCAACATAGACTGCACAACTGTGCATGTTTCATGTAAAACTCTGATGTAAAGTAAAGTGAGTGACATCTAACCAAATATCAAACTCTAGATTACACCTTTTCCACCAGCAATTGCAGCAGCTATAAAAACATGCACTGGTTTCAGATAAATTAATCCCTCATGGAAGTCTGCGGCTTCACTGTGAAGATGCCTAGTCCCATTTTCATTCTTTAAACCACAGTGCCATCTAGTGGGTCAGGCGGCAACCAAGCATTGTGTAGTAATGTACAAGCCCTGCAGCAAAGTGTCAAGAGGCAAACCTTCCAGGAGAGATTTCTGCCCAGGAGGTAACGTGACTGAAACCTTGTTTTTAAAGCCCTAAGATCTGTATGCACAGAGCAGCTTCAGAACATCTCATCTGCTGAAGTTCAAATTTAGTCTACAAATATTACATTTTTTTTTTAAAGGCAAGTTTTATCAGGTGCTTAAAAAGGCCTCTATTGGTACGACACTGTTCACAAATGGCAAAGATGCTGAAACCATACAAGTAATGTGACAGCTTCTCTGACCCAACTAACTGTAACCAGATGGAAGGAACGGAACACAGTGTGCCATGGAAGGGTCCTGAGATAACTTCACTGCCCTGACCACTTGAGGGCACAGCACAGCTCTGTAATCGAAACCAAGGATGGTCAACCTGCCCTCTATCTCGGCACAGCAATTAAACCACCGTTCCCACATGCACAGCTTTTACCACTACAGAAAGGAACTTCCATGGGTACAATTATGGCCACAGGCAACCAGGTGTGTAACATTGCAACGGCCGTACCTTAAGAGGCCCAAGACATGCAGCTGAACCACACGGGCCTCCAGTAACGCTCTCCCTGCCTTAACACCAGCTGTAGGAAAGAGCATGTGGGCGAGTACAGCAGCCACATCCTGCAAAGGAATTCTGCAGGTATGCTGCAGAGGCAGTGCTTGTTTTCCGACCTTCACAAGCCCTCACTACACCTAGCAGCTGAATAGGACTGAGACACTGACGACAGTATACCTTGAATATACAGTCAAAGATTTAAATACCCCCTGATCAATGGAGCCAGCAACTAAGCTTGGGAAGTGGAAACGCACGGCTTCCCCAAAAAGATGCTACTAGAATCGATTACAATAGAAATCATAGCAGATGGGGACACTGAAACTGAAAAACGTGAATGGAGAAATATCTTGGCATTCAAGGTTTTGAGAATGAAGCTGGCTTGTCTCCATCTCTTTTCTACTGCAGTACTTACATTTTCCAATCCTTGGGAGGATACAGAAAGCTAAAAAAGCATCCATTTTACAAACTGAAGTCTTGGAACTTAAGCCTGGCACAACCAAGAACCAATAAAAGTGCAACATTTGTCTGGATCGGACTCAATTATGCCTGAATATTTATGGTTGGCTAGATTCAAATGCTTGAATATTTGAATTATGCCCAAATATTTATGGTTAGCTTAGCCAGATTCAAATCCAGTAGTAACTTACAGCTCTCAACAATCAAAGTTCTTTGGCTCTTGAACATTACTGGAATCGAACCTGGCTTTTCTACCACAGATCAACATTGACTGCCCTCTGAAACTATCTCCACAGTTACTAGGTCACAGTATTCAAGACAGCATTCATCCTTCTAATGATGCAATTTTAACAGGCCTTCAGTTAAACGGATGGCTCAGTACAATGGAGAAGCAACTGTACTGTAGACGTGACTCACTTTTTTTGCTGGAGTCTTCACTTCCTCTTCATCCTCCTCATCCTCATCATCACTACAATCAAAATTGCAATCAGCATGCATTCCGCATAATTCTAACATTTAAAGAACATTCAGATGCACTCCTCCAGCTTTATATTTAAAAGATTAACAACCTACAGTTTGCAGCTGATGGCATGTCCAAACAGAAGCAAATTCAGATTTCTCAAGTAAAATGGTACTTCAATTATGCCGAATGCGGTGCCTGTGAATACAATCTGCTTTCCCCCACTCCCCCCCCCATCTGCTCTTCCTTCAAAGAGCCAATCATAGCTTTTCTCCAGATCACTGGAGTAAGAGCTGATTCAGAAGCACCCAGGAGGCAAACGCTTCATGCCTGCAGGGAGCAACCATTTGGAAAAAGCAGCCTCCGCTTTTAAGAGAATGCTTTGTCTTGGAACACACCAGCATCCTGTGACTAGCCACAGGATCCCCCATGACAGCCATTTTGTGGTGCCAATGACTGACCATTCTCAAAATTCAGGCTCAATGTAACAGGGGACTACTGGACTTAAAACCTGTCTTATCCTACTCTTCTCACTAGTGAAATTATGATCTGAGGCATCTGCTACTCCTGAAACACACCAAAACAAATCCCAGCTGAGACTGCCTTTAAAGTAACATTTAAACCCAATATAGCAAATACCCCACCTCTATCACAGATGGTGCCCCCTATTAATACTGTTAACGTTCCATAAAATAAAAAAGCACTTTAAAATGCAACTCAATAATTGCTTGAACAATTATGACGGGTTCTGTACAAGTATTTAGAATGACATACTCATCATCATCATCTTCATCATCATCCTCTTCATCGTCATCATCAATTTCTTCTGTCAGTTTTGCTTTTTTCTGTAAGAAGCACATGTAAATCAAGATTATTTATATCCCAGCACATCCAATCCATGCCACTCTTTAAGTGTATATAGTAGTGCTGTGAACTAATAAGATCTCTGGGTTTTGTACACAAATTTACGGGATTAAGAGCAAAGATCCAACTTTCCTCCAACTTGAGTGTCTCTTCTGTTGGAGGAATGGCCACTTGACCCAATTACTGTGATGGCTGCTGACGGGATCCTGGGATCTGCGAAGGCCACTACTTGTGTCCTGGACCCTTAAGCCTGATGTCTATCACAAACTAGTAATTAACTCAGAGGAGTTTTTCTTGGCCATTCAAAGAGCCGGTTTCTGTCCACTGCTTAAAGAATTGTCCCTATAAAAAATGACATGGCCTATTATTGCCCAGTCTCTAATCTACCTGTCCTGGGCAAAGTAATTGAGAAAGCAGTAGCAGACCCCCTCCAGGTCTTTTTCAATAACTCATCTGCTCTGGACTCTTTTCAGGCTGGGTTTTGGGATAGAGACCATTTCTTTAATACAGTGGACCATGCCATCTTGGGAGATGGAAACAGGCATCAGAGGATGGACTGGTTCAAGCCAATCCTCAGACCATCATCCAGGGCTGCCAGAGACCAGTTGCCATCCATGTATGACCCATCTTGTGTGGTTCAACTGGGTGCAGTCCTATCCTCCATGCAATTCAACCTTTACCAAAAGCCTTGAGTCACTGCCTGTCCATTGTAGGTAAATGGACGAAAGTGAAGAAACCAATCACTGCCTGTCCATTGTAGGTAAATGGAAAAAAGTGAAGAAACTAAACCCAGCCAAAGACAGCAGTAATGTGGGCTGGGAAGGCTGAGATCTTGAAGGACATTGTGCTTCCCTCCTTTGATGGAGTTCATCTGACCCCCGCTGACTCACTCAAGAGCTATGGGGTTATACTGGATCCAACTGCAAGAGTAGCAAGTCGATGCAGCCACAAAAATGCCTTTCCACCAGCTCCGCCTAACCTGTTAAGATGGCCTCATCCTTTGATAATGCCTGACCTGCCCACCACAGTAATCAGACTAGACTACTGTCATGCACTGTACATTGGTCTCCCCCCAAAAACCAACCCAGAGACTCTGTTCCAGAATGCTGTGGCTTGAAAAATAGCAGGAACTAGACAAGAGCGTGCATATGGCTCTGATCTGCTGGCTGTCTATTTGTTACTGAGCTCAGTTTAAGCTATCGGCTACCACATATAAAGCCCCTGGACTCTCATGTCTATCAGACTGCTTCTCCCTCTATGCTCCACCACAACAGCTTTGAGCAGGTCCTTCTGCAGGCGCCACCCTGCAAATGGGAAAGACAAGTAACTGCCCACATGTGCATTCTCTGTTGTGGCCCCCACCTACCAGAATGGCTTCCCCAGTGAGGTCAGGGAGGCTCCCCGCTCTCCCGGCATTTTGCAAACTATGCAAAACTGGATTATTCGGGAGGGCTTTCTGCACAGGCAATGGGGCTTTATCATAATGCAAGTGGTTCAAGAACGGTGCTTGAATAAAGGGAAAGCAGCTAAACTATAGAAGAGTAAATAGATTCAGGTGGGCAGCCATGTTGGTCTGAAGCAGTAGAAGTTTGAGTTCAGTGGCACCTTTACGACCAAAAAAGTTTTATTCGAGGTATTACCTTTGGTATGCATGCAACACTTCCCTCAGATACATTGAAACTGAAGGGAAAAGCTCACTGATGTGTATATAGAGGGAGAAGAGTAAATTGGCATACAGCATAACAATGATATTTTAACAGATGCAAAAACTGAACAGTTATAACAAGTTAAGTTTGTTTGGATTTAATTAAGGGGGAAACACAGTAAATATGTCAAAAAAGGAGACTGGTTGTGTAAAAGTGTCCTTTTACTTTTGTTACACTCCATTTCTCTCCTCTCAAGCATGGAGGGAATACTGCAGGGCCAATCTTTTCTTGCATACAGGCAGTCCCCTCCCCCAGTCTCAAAAAGCTTTTCACTCACAATGATGAAACACCTAATTTGAACATGGACACTGGCACCAGAGCTTGCAATAAACCCAAATGCCAACTTTGCTGCCACATACACCAGACAGACAGCATAATCACTGGACCTCATCTCTTAACATTGTATATGCCATTAAAATGCTTAACAATACCCTTTGGTTCTCTACATAGGGTAAATAGGTCAAACCCTATGCCAAAGGATAAACTGTAACAAATCTGACATCAGAAATCACAAGACTGGGAGATCTGTAGAACACTTCAGCCTTCCAGGACATTCAATGGCTGACCTCAAAGTAGCTGTTTTATTACAAAGGAACTTCAGGAACAGAAGGGAAAGGGAAACCGCTGAATTACAAGTTATTATGACACTCAGCGACACACACACCCAACTCAACAGGGATATTGGTTTCTTAATGCATTATGTATACTAGCCTCGTTCAGTCCTTACATATGTATTCTCATCAAGAAGTACTATACACCCTCTGTATTTTATTGAGTTTCTTTTTTAATATATTGGAATAGTGATTGTAAAAATTTCTCCGATCTAGTGACAGAGAAGACCTACAGTGCTCAACCATCCACCTCATCTCAAAGAAAAGGTCGCTGTTAATTACTACGTTTGAGAGAAATGGAGCATAACAAAAGTAAAAGGACACTTTTACACCATCAGTCTTCTGTTTTGACATATTTACTGTGTTTTCCCCTTAAATCTAAACAAACTAAACTTGTTATAACTGTTTAGTTTTTGCATCTGTTAAAACATAATTGTTATGCTGTATGCTAATTTACTGCTTGCCCTCTACATACACATCAATAAGTTTTAACTTCAATTTCAACATATCTGAGGAAGTGTGCAAGCATACAAAAGCTCATACCTTGAACAAAATTTTTGTCATAAAGGTGTCACTGAACTCAAACTTTGTTCTACAGAAGAGTAGGTTTTAATACTCCTCTTTTCTCTATGAAAGTAGCTTACAATCACCTTCCCTTCCTCTCCCCACAACAGGCACCTTGTGACCAATGCTCCCTGTAAGCTGTGGAGTCTTATGAGCAAAAATTCTACTTTGTGAGCTACTGGCATTAACGTTGTGAGCAAGCAATTTGGCTACTTGCATAAATTAGTTTGCTCTGGAGCCCTCCTCCCTGAGCTAAGACAAAAATGTGAGCCGGAGGCAAAAAAACCCTTGTGCTGGCTCACACTAACTCAGCTTAGAGGGAACGCTGCTTGTGAGGTAGGTGGGACTGAGAGATTAGAGAGCTGTGACTGGCCCCAAGGTCATTCAGGAGGCTTAATGTGAAGGAAGCAAACCCAGCTATCCAGATTACAGTCCACCACTACACCACTCTGGCACCGTACTATGTACTACTTCTCACCGTATCATATGATCCCATCGTGTAGCTTTGCACAGTTTAATATGTCCTGGTTTCAGTTTTTACTTGGTTTTAATTTTTATATCCTAATCCTATCACATGGTTTATGGGATGTCCCATCCTACCAACTGCATTGGCCCATTTTTCAGCTGAAGGAAGGCTTCAAATTTTGCTCAGTGGAGTGGCTCGTTGGATCCATCCCCACTATTTAAAAATGCTGCCTTATTCATAACTGAGTCTTGGAGCGCAATTCCCATTGCAAAGCCAAGGAAGATCGTATCTCCACTACTTTTCCAAGTTTACCTGTGGAAGTTTACTCAGGGTCACATTGGAGGGCCTCTTTGCTGAAGTATTCACAACCTTCTCTTCTTCCTCATCTTCAGATTCTGGCTCTTCTTCTAATGCTAAGAAGGCACAAAAGAGGACTGATAAGACAGAGAAGTCTTCCAGCCCTCAGCAAAAAAACTGCAAACTGTTCAATTTAAAATAGCAAAAAAAAAAAAAGAGTTAAGTTTCATACCCACAAGATGTTGACCACTGACATAGACAGGCCCAGAGCCACATTTCAATCGGAGGATTACAGGTGGTGTAATTTCAAAGCCTCCCAATGAAACCTGAAGACAAAAAGGAACAAAAATGGGTTAAAACTGCTTTGCCTTAAGTTTACTCTACAGTGTAGCTGGACCATCTGTTACCCGTATAGCTCAAAACAATGCCAGACAAGAATTCCACAATGATAAGTCAAGAATGCAAGGTCGGCAATGTAGCTTTTGCCATTTAGACCTATGGTGCTCAGTTCCTCAGAGCTAAGGCATGCTGCAAAATGTGGCAGTTAAGTTTTACATAAAACCTTCCTTGTTCGCTTTTCTGAAATGCTTAAAACAGCACACACTAACAAAAAGATGAAACAAAGAAAACTTGTAGTCTTCTAGGAAAAACATACTGTCACTCAAGTTGGAGGGGAACCACATTTTGGCGCAAGCAGCATACCAGTAGGGAATTAAAACAAGCCTTCAACTGAACAAGAGTTAAAGCTGTGCCACATTTCAATCCGTCTGCCACCTAGCCAAATCAACTAATGACAGTCTAAGCATGGAAGATGCATAGTCAGTCTGACCCTAACTATCTTGGCCGCACTATACATGACAAACAGTATTTTGCACATATATTTTTCTCCCTTAGAAGTCGAACAAAGGGGAGAGAAGTACATTTACAAAACACTTATTATAAATTGTATAGTGTTATAGGGCTCAAAGCACACCATACATACTGCCTGAGCGACAGAGAGGACAACTACCACCATTAAACTGCCTAGCAGAAATAGGCAACACATGCCCCTCTATGTACTTCTGTGACACCTGAAGTACCCCTCCAGAACATCAAAATACAGCCATACAAATCAAGAAAGACCATTCGTTTTAAAGTTCAAGGTACCTGGGGCTTTGGTCATTTGGCTGCAAATTAGTCTCCTTCCACAATACCCTTCATTGTGGTATCAATGCATGAAAATGATCAAAAGTCAACATATCAGCTATGATAGGGACATATCAGCCCTATGAAAAATAGCCTAAGGAAGCCAGAAGCCTACCTCTATAATTGCATCTGGCCAAAACATTTTCACCTAGTCAACAAGCTAGCATTATGACCTGGATCAGCTCAATTCTCAAGGCAGCAGCTTCCAAGAGACACAAATAAGTGTGCACTGCACTGTTAACAGCCAGCAGTCCCCTAGGAAAGTAATTACATAGTACTTCTAGCCCCATTATGGATTAGAAAATGATGTACAGGACAAAAAAGGTGCCAGTTGCTAGCTCGAATACTGTCCTTCTGTGTGGTCATTACATGGATTTTTTAAAAAGCTGAATCCAAGAACATATTGTAACTTAACAATTAACCAGCTAACAGTGAGTTTAATAATACAATTCTATGTCTTCAGTGCTATAAAGTTTAACTTGATATGAAAAAGTCCAACCTACTGGGACTGTATGTGATTGTCCCTGCCCCAATACTGCAAAATTTGTTTTCAACCTTCAATTTGTTCCCTACCTCTCTTGATAGCAAAAATCAAGATACACATGCTACAGTAGCACTGCACACAACCCCAAGTACAGCGAACTTTGGCAGTTTCTTATAGAAAATGAAGGCATTGTTTTAAGTACCATACATTTAACTAAATATGTATGCATGCTAATATACAAATACATTTTAGGTTGTTAAATCAGTAATTTATGTTTACGTTTAATATGAAATTAACACTACAATTCTAAGCAATTACATATAAGCATTTGACTTCAATGGTGTTTCCAAAATCCTTTTGGCCCTGTAGCTTCAAAATTTCCAGAAATTTTACATCTCTACCTACCCGTTATCCCACCGTCTTTGACAAGTAAGCATTCCTTACCGTGGGCTGCACTGACATTTTCAAGGATGCCAGTGTGACTGTAATCTGGTTGCCTTCATAGTCCAGTGCTTCTGCTTCAACAACATGCAACTCATCTTTAGCACCAGCTCCTAAACTGACCTGTACAACAATTGAAGTTCGTATATTTAGTTTCTGCACGCGTCATACAACATAAACCAAGCCTGCATTTCACTTAGTTGTTCAAAATAACATCTAAGCTGGATATGCAAAATCAAAGTGGCAAAGTGGACCAATATTTTAAGTGACTGAACAATTTGATCGGTTTTTAAAGAAAATCCAAGTTGGACACTGCAAATATTCAGTTCATATTTTCCAAATGCTTTTTGGCCCTGTGGCTTCAAAATTTCCAGAGATTTTACATCTCTAGCTACCCCGGTTGATTTATTGTATTTTGCTGTATGCAGCGCTCTTTATTGTGAACCTCAGATGGACGCATAAAAGTAATAGGTCCAAAGCTTTTCCTTGGCATTTATTTAATGTATTTATTTATCCCGCCCACCCAGCACCTATTTCATTTGGGCACTCCAGGAAATGGTACAGTGCTTTAGAATTTTCCAGAAAACAGAACTTACTGTTCTTAATGACAGCTGATGCTCATTTTCTTCATCATTCACCTTGAAGTGATAGTCCTTGTCTGCCTTTAGTTCACAACCTGCAAAAATCAGATTTATGTGTTACCAGTAGTAGTCTGTTCAATATTTAGCTCCATTCAGAGGAAAATACCTGGAAAATTTTTATGGTAGTTATTTAAACACGTATCAGGGGAGAAACAAGATGCCTGTCTTAGTTTCCATTTTGGCTACACTATGAAAAAAGCTTTTAAAAAAATTTTTTGCCCAAAAAACTTAACACAAGCCTCTGCAAACACAATTTGGCAAATAAAATCCATTACGTACCAGTTAAGCACATTTTCACTAGCCTAGGCAACTAACTCCTAAAGGGCTTCTCAAAAGTTCATCATGCTGTAAGCCAAATGTAAACATGACTCCTGTTTCAGGGTTGGCAGACACAGAGGATGTAATTTCACTAAATGCCTGTAGGTCACAAAGAAGCTGCCAGTTCCACACTACTTTAATCTACAGCTTACAAGAGAAGCATGAACCACCTACTTACGCACATGGCCGCCCATTCCTTTCTGTACCTCCTCCCCTCACTTCTGTAACTTTAACTTCACAACAATTTTCCACTACACCCCACTAACACAGGTCTCTTCTTGGCCTAACTTTTATTCAAGTAGGTATATTTTTGTTTGGGCTAAACTACAGCACAAAAGAACAGTTCAGTGCTGGATCACAATATATTAGCAAGCAAGCAAAAACCGCTTCTCTTAGCATGCCAGTTTCCTACACGCAGCTAACATTATTCTACCTTGTACGCCTTTAGAGGTAATCTTAACACATACAGTAGAAGTAGAAAACATTTCTTCCAATAAAGACAGCATCCACCCGTAGCCAGATAATCACAGTTGGCAACGGGATTTCCCCAAGGGAAACAAGACACGACTCCTTAGGCACCGTAGCCAAAGACCCGTGGATTAAACCAGAGGATTGGATCCTGCTACGCCTTTGTGCTCAGTTTTCACTCAACGCCGCCTCCTCCCGCATGCCCTTTGTCCATAAAAAGCCGACGATACCCAAAATGGCCTCTTTGGCGGCGGTCAAAAAAAAAAACCAACCCGCTCCCCATCCCCGTTTCCTCAACGTGGAAAATTAAAACTGGTCGGATGCAAAATGAAAAAGGCGCCCCTTGTCTAGAGAGACCACGCGTCAGGCCATACCTCCGGCATCCCTAAAGGCTTTGGGGCTGACGTTCAAGACGGGCAGCGAGAGGGGGAAAGGCGCGCGGCGGGGAAGATCCTTTCGGAAGGGACAAAAAAAATAGAGGCCCCACCACCGGGACCTGGCCAAGGTCAAGGGCGACACGCGCGTAACCCCCGCCACGTGGGAAGGCCCACCTGGGCCTCAGGCCAAGCGTACCCGTCTTTTTCTCTTTTCTTCTCCCCGTCCTACCCAAAGGGGGAGGAGAGTTAAAGAGGAGGCGAAGGGAAAGGCCGGGGGACCGGCAGGCGGCCTGCGCCCTCGCTTACCGAAGAGGAAGGTCTGAGGCCGCAAGGAGCCCATGTTCTCCATGTCCATGTTGCTGTCCTCCATGTTGCTGTTGTTCTTGGCGGGGGTCTCTCCCTTCGCTTCAGCAAGATTCCCAGAGGAAGGACGGCGGGGAGGGGGGAAGGATGCGTGAGCCCTACAGCGCGGGACGCTCACAACGGACGGAATAACGCCCCCGAGAAAAAGAGCGCGCGCCTCTCGACCCCTCCTGTATATATACGCTCGCACGTCTCGCGAGAGTCACCAGCGGGGAAACCGCCCCCCTCTATAGTGCGGATCTCGCGAGACCCGATCGTGGGCCTCCTTTGTTTGAAGGCCGCTCGCAGATCCCGCGAGAACATACCCCCCCCCCGATTCCGGACGAAGGCGCGTGCGCTGTTTAACGTGGTTTCTCAGCGGGGTGGGGGGGGGGGGGGGGGGGGGGTGTATCAACGGAGGCGATTGTTGTCCGTGCGCATGCGCTCTCCAACCTCCGACTTTTCGGTGCCAGTTGAGAAGCACCTTCGTCATAGTGAAAGATCTAGAATAATGAGGAGGGGGACGGGGCGCGCGTGCGTACTGGCTTCTCAGTGGAGGGGCTCCCACTTCTTTTGCTTTGTTTTCGCTTGTGTTCGAGTCCCCCTCCGCCTGAGCGCAAAGTGTATTTGCGTCCCTTTCTACCATTAGTCTGGGTCCTATTACAACCACGTCCCGATCATCACCAAGAGAACTATTACGGGATTGCCAGCTACACTTGTATTTAACAGAACTGTCCGCGTAATTCTACAGATTCACTCCACAGATTTACATAGGTTAACTCCGCATGGCATTGCGCTACCACAAACCTTTTCCATAGCATGGTTATTTAAGGTTGCCGGCGCCAGGTTGGGACATTCGTAGAGATTTGGGGAGTGAGACTAAGGAGGGAGGTGGTTGAGTGGGTTGTTACCCTCCAAAACTGCCATTTTCTCCAGGGAAACTGATCTCTGTAATCTGGAGATCAGTTGAAATGCTGGCCCTTTTTGGAGGTTGGTGACCCTAATCCTTTATATAAGGTTTATTAAAATATATATGCCACCCAGAGGTTCTAAGAGCCTTTTTTTAAAAAAAATTGCCTTATCCACACATTAAAGCAAGAGTCCAACAGCACCTTAAAAACTATCAAAATTTATTCCAGCATAGAGACAAATTATTTCCAGTATGAATTTTTGTTGTTGTCCAGGCTGTCAGAGAAACTCATTTTTTATTTTCCTGCAACAGAGTAACTGGCTCTGTCTGGAATGTCTGTCACATTGTTGCTTATTCCAATATACTTTGACGAGATCAAACAAACTAAGGCTGGAGATATGGAAGGAGCCGCTGCAGAACTAATGAAGATGGAGCCAAAAACCAGGACAGAAACAGCAGCTACTAATAATAGATGTAACATAGACCTTTCCATCCCCAGGCTGTCCTACAGAACAGTTTCCTTGTCCGCCATGTAGACACCAAAAGCCAAGAAGCAGAGCAAAGTTCTTTGGGGAGGGAATCCAAGAGGCACTATTGAAAAGACCATCTCCTGCGTTGCCCACCCATCAAACTCCAAACAAAGAAGGCCCTCTGAGGAAGACCGTTAAAATGGAGGTTCATATGGGAGTAATGGTTTAAGTATCAAGACCATTTGGGAAGTTAGTAAAACCGACATTTTAAATGAGATCCAAATACAAACCACCATCCGATGAAGTTTATGTGTGATTGGCGTACATAAGCAACTCGACAGAGCCAGCCTAAACAGGTCTGCCTGGGATCCTACTCAAGTATATTCAAGAGGACTTACTCCCAGGAAAGTGTTCTTAGGGTTGTACTGTAGGTCAGTTTTATCTAGGTGTTGAAAAGCACAGGTCTGCAAAAGGTCCCAGGTTCAGTTCCCAGCATCTCCAGTGAAAAGGATCAAATAGTAGGTGATGTTGAAGACCCTGGAGAGCTGCTACCATTCAAAGTAGACAATACTGACCAGTGGTCTAATTCAGTATAAGGTAACCTTGTGTCCCATTTCAGTAAGGTGATCCATAGGGATCCATGGACAGTATAAGTAGCTCCTGAGAGATCCAGCAGACCAACAGGGATACATGTACACACTAAAGCCACCGACCATGTCCCATCATGACTTTTCTCTGCCCCATTTTGGCCTTGTGCCCAACCCCCCACAGTAGAAATAACACAGGTTCTTGATCAAGACTACATAGCCAATGGGACAAGGCCCTCTTAGACTCCAATGGCCAAAAGCTATGGATACCAGCAGCACACCTGAAGTCTTTGAGGACGACCCGGAGGTCCCACCTTTAATCTGAGTACCCATGCAAATATTTTTAGTTGAGTTCCAGTAGACTGTTAATCTTTTCTAAGAATCTATGTTCGCCGATGACCTGATTTCCGCACTCAGTTGTACATAGCATACAGTCTTGTGCTGTGGCAACACAACTTCTACTAGCTGCTTGTTTGCAAGACTGTGTCATACCTGTCTGAGGATACCACACTACTCACGTTGCACAGAGGAGCATGCAGCTAATTTCCATTAATCTCATGTTCAGAAGGACAGCAAAATTCTCCATTGTACTGGTCTGTATGTTTCTTTCCAAATGAAGTTAAATAGAGGGATGTATTTGCTGTAGGACAGTATGTATTTTATTACAGCTGTGATTTGACCAGTATATTAATAGCTGCAACTGGGATGATTTATAATAAACTTGTAATGCCGTCTTCTCCTTCTGGTTATTGTAAAATGGTACAATGAAACTGCCATCTTGTTAGCAACCAGACCTCTCTTGCAGAAGGGTAGTCTTATTCAAGTTGCTCCTCTTTAATTAACACCCCCAAAATCATATGTACTGTACAGCCTGGCCTGGAAATGGGACCAAGATGGAGCTCGAACAGACAAGCCTCAGAAACTATTTTGGGAAGGTGACCCTGAGTCTTAGACTTGTTAACAGATCTCTTTCCACCCAAAACAAAGACACTTAATCGCATCAATGGTCTTCTCAGGAAACAATACCCTTCCCTGGCATGATCTCATCACACCTGCCTATTTACTTTAATTAGGAGGCTATGCAGATACCCTGATAACCTCTCCCATTCTGTGCTCAAAGGGTCATCAGAGGAAATCATTGCATTCACCAATCTAATCAGAAAGATTTTGACACTTTCAGTTCACATCGGACAGACTCATCATGCAAAATATCACAACTTTCCCCAGGTCTTTGTCCATTCCTGGGAATGCTATTCAACCTTTCCCCAACACACTGTTTCACTTCCAGCTAAACCCATTAGGATATTGATTTAGGGACAATCGCATCAGTATGCCCTCGGGTAGCATTTTGCCCTATAACTGGACATGCTCTGCCCCATGCAGTGTATGTGTCTTGGGCAAACTACTGATGACTCACCACCATTTGAGTTCCTTTCCATCTCTGTGAAACACTGGTTCATTTCACAGTCTCTCCTATGGACCGCTGCTCTTCTGGACTGGTAGAATTTCCCTGAAAAACTTCCCTCTATTCCCGCTCCTTTCCTGCATTTCTGTTAGCTTGTGCGTATGTGTGTGCATTTATGTGTGTTTTATTTTATTACTTCCTCTTTCAATAAAAAGAACCTTTCTTGGTTAAACCAGAGCCTGGATTATTTCTGAGAGTTTATCTAAGGAAAAATCCCCATAAACTTTAGTGGAGATCTTGCTCATCACCCGCTCTCTCAAGCTCTGTCTCCAATTACACTATTTTCCCCTAACAGATATGGAGACCTCCCTTTTAGGTAACACCCTCCCCCAGAAAGACTAATGTCATAATTCAAGTAGTTTAATAAATTAGATCATTTAACAAAGGAGTACATTAAGCAAAAATATTCTGGGTTAAAAATATTAGTTATAGGCTTGGAAACATGGCTTTGTTGTTAACCTTGCTTTCTTTTTTTCTTTCAGATAATAATAGTTGGCTTTCTTCAACAAAAACAAAAAATTAGCAGAGTCCAAAACAAACCCCAATAGGTCCATCCTAAACAGAGTAACACTCTTCTAAATTCATAGACTTCAATGAATTTAAAAGGGTTTAACTATGTTTAGGATTGCACTGCAAGTTACCTAACCAGACAGTTTTTAACCAGATTAATAATAACCATAATACAGGCAATTTTGATCTCCCATCATCTCCTCCACTTTCATATTCCACGCATAATTTCAGGCATTCTTGTTAAGTTTATAAGAAGACTTCTCACTATACTTTCCAGTTAGCTTTAATATCTTTTTCAGGGATGTGAGGACTTTCGCAAAAGAAAAGAAATTATATCTGATCAGATTTGAAAAGTATAATGAACGCAGGATTCAGTGAGTTATGCAGATTCACAAGAAGTGAATTCAAACATTCCTTCAAATACACAAACAATGAAGTTTTATTTTCAAACGCTGGGTGTGTTTCACCTCTAATCAAAACAGAGTTTCATTCTTCCATAGGTACTTGTGAATAACTGACTCCGTGGCTCTTTAAAATATACCATGCTCAGAGTCTATCAATTTCCTTCAGGGTTGTTTTGTTTGTTTGCTTGCTTAGAAACCAAAAGCGGACTTCCTGTTCAAAGCAGGAGTGATCATAGGAAATACCCATTTTATTGTTACTTATTTCTACAGCACTTTTATTTGCAAAAATGCACGACGATCCATGTTTCATTAAAGAGGCAGCAGTGGCTTTTTATCTGGGAACTTGTCAAACAAGCAGCTTGTCAAACAAAAGCAGAGTCACCTACCACGGGAACATTAGGACTGCAAGTCAAAGGGCTGGTTTCTACCCAGAGGCAATTTCTTTTAATGGTGTCTCCGTGATCCCAGTACTGAGCCAATTGATCAAAACATTTAGACAGCAGAAGGATTTCTGAAGCATTTTATGGAAGTACTTTTTAACCCTTATGCCAGATCTCCTTAGTTATCTTCTATCTACCTTGTTTTTATCCCACCTTTTGTCCAAGGAGCTCAGAGTCAAACAAATAAAATAAAAATAAAGTTGCTGCAGGCTCTCCTCCACTTCCATTTTATCTTCAGCACATCCCTAGGAGACGGGTTAGGGCGGCTGAGGAAAAATAACTTGGATCCGGCATTAACGGGACGTTCTAGCCCCCCTGTCCTGTTGCAGCCCAAAATGCCTACCTGAGTGGCGCTCCTGGGGGACCTAAAATAGGATTGCCAGGTCCAGGTTGG